AGAAAGTATATTCAAAATCTTACTCAAGTCTATTCACTGTGGCTTCCACTAAGGAAAGTGCCCTTAGGATGGCACTGCTAGGAGTTTCTCTTGGTCAGGAGAAAAAAACCTGATTTCTCCATTCATTTCTTTGAAGCCCCACCTGGAAATAAGGCTGTCCCAACTGGTGAGAAAGGCCAGCTACAGCTTCCTACCCTACACTTATCTTTCTTTTTAAGAAGAAAAAATGTTTTGGCCTTTTCCCAAAAATAATTCTGTGATCAGCAGCAATCCTCAACTCATGAGCTGCATAAAACAGGCACCTGTAAGCTTCCCACGTTACCTTGTCTCTTTCAGTGTCTCATATTCAGCCTCACCACTGCTGAAATATCTTCAGTTTTTATCCCTTTTTGTAATAAAATGGGCCTTCTTCCTCTAGGTAGTCTATGTAATTTTTTCACTAGTTTTGTAATTAACAAGAACGTTCCTACTGACACCAGCTGGGAGATGGATATCAGCTCATAAAGTTCTCTTTTTAAACACTCTGCTGAAAGCATTTCTACACAAGCAAATTCTAGAAAGTGAGGCTGGAATTACACTAATGGATTCTTTTACTAGAAAGGAAGAGGAGAAAGACTGATGGCACTTAGCCTCAATTGAAATGGAAAGGAATTTTTTTCAAGCAGATTGTATCCAACCATCTTGCCCCTACAGCCTAATTATGTCCAACCTTTCATTCTGGAAAGGAACCCAGAAGCCCACAAAGGCATTAGAAATCCCAGCTTCCAGTTTTTTTCCCTTTCCTTTTTCAAAAGAGGAAAGCACTTATCAAGGGCCAGTTTGGACTGGGGTCATAGTACAGGGATTTAATCTTTACAGATCCCCCCAATTTTGCCAGTTGAAACCAACTTCTTATCCATGTTGTTATCAGCCCTGGAAAGAAAAGAAGAAGAGATTGGATTTATACCTCACCCTTCTCTCAGAGTCTCAGAGTGGCTTACACTCCCACCACAGACACCCTGTGAGGTCGGTGGGGCTGACAGAGCTCTTTCAAGAGCTGCTCTTTCAAGAACAGCTCTGACAGAACTATGGCTTGCCCAAAGTCATCCAGCAGGTGCAAGTGGAGGAGTGGGGAATCAAACCTGGCTCTCACAGATTAGAGTCCACGCACTTAACCACTACACCAAAAAGACAAATACTGGGTGCCTGTCTTGTTGCTTCCGGGGCTCATAATACTGTGGTGGATGGCTTTGGTCTGCAAAACCATGTGAGAAGGGCTAAACCTTCTGAACTCGGAGGCTATGCGGCAGATCTGAACTGGGAGGCTATGTGGCAGTTATTGCCCTTTATAAAGTGCAGGAAGATCCAATTCTAGATCTTCCTGCATCTTGTCCAGTTAAGCCTATAAATAATTTTAATTTACACTATGAGTGGAGAAGTCATTTTAAGTCAGGGAACAAGTGCTAAAATATTTGGTTCCAGTCCTGTTTCCCCTACCACCTGCAAATCTGTAAACTTTGCTCTATCAGATGACATCAGAGTAAGACCTATACTTAAATTTAACAACAGGGTCCTCCCTCTTGGTCTTCCTGCTTCCTCCCATTTCGCTTTCACAAAGCGTAGACTCCAAGAGCATAACCACAGAATGGAATGGTCAGGTCAAAAACCCTTTCCTTAATTTTCTTAATTAATCTGTATTGTTCCATAGGCAGTCCCCAGCCTAGTCCCAAAGCTTTGACTGCTAAATCAGCAGCCCATATTATCACTATAGTGTTAGAGTCTCCCATGGGCATTCCTCCTGGTAGATGCTGCAGGGAGCTTAAGCCACGTTCTGTCTTTCTGCAGGCTGAGAAGAGCAGACAGTCCCTAGCCAATTGCTTTATGCTTCCATACAGAAGGAATGAAAACAGCACAAGCTTTACTAGCTGTTTGGTTCTGGGAAGAATTCAAGGTGCTGCTCATTAAACTGAGCCAAAAACAGTCTGGGACCAGGATACTTAAAAGCCACCTATTCCTATCTATGTGTGCCCCTCAGCCAAGATCTTCAAGTCTAGGGAGGCCTTTCATTATGTACGCCACCTTAGAAAAAAGGTGGTTGGCTACCAGAGAGAGAGGACTTCTCCTGGATGATACTGCATCTCTGCCACTGCTGCCCCCACAAAGATTTACTTGGCACTTAACCAATCTAGTCAGGCCTTTAGATGACTAATGCAGAGACTTGTTTGTTTTCCTATTTTATGCATGTGTTGTGCTGTTTCTGGGTTTCACTCATTTTATATCATCATCAACTTATGCCTCTTAAGTAAACAGAACAAAACTGTAAATAAATTAATATGTAAGTGAGCACCTTGGTCAGGTGTATTCTTTGTAACATTAATTATGGTAATTTATGCACAGTCAAATATTGCCCATGAAAACTGGTAATTAGTTTATCATAGACATTTATTTGTACAGCTTAATGTACTGAGCTGGAATTTCTGTGCGTAATGGCCTGTTTCCAACACTTTGTCGCACTCTAGGATGACAAAGAAACAGAACTGAGGACGGTTCTGCTCAGACTGGAGTCCTTTACTGCCCAATGTCCTTGCAACATACAAGCCCCATCTCTGCTGATACCTCACTCATCGTAACCAAAGGCATGCTGCTAGTAATAATGAAAAAGATGACAAGTAAAGAATAAGGGAAAGTGTTCCCTAGATATCAGAGCAGAGTGAAATAGAGTATATTATATGTAAGATGTCACTTAAGAGGGAGTAGAACGAACAGCAGCAGTTGTAGCAGCTACATCAGCAGAAGGCTTGGGGAGAGAAATTTAGTCTTCCCCTCCACACACACATTCTTCCTCACCCAAAGCATCCTTGCTGCTATCAGGAATAGAGAGGTGAAAACCTTTTTTAAAAACACTGCAAAAAGGCCCGCCCTTTACAAAGGAAATCCCCCCCCCATTTTTCCAACAGAAAACCATGGGTTCTGAGGGAAAGATCTTGTGATTTTTTTTTCCCTTTTGGGATGAGTAAAATGCCTTTTAAGAGAAGGTGTAGGAAGATTTTTGTGTAAAACAATCTACAAAATTAGATAAAGACAATTACTGTATCTACTGTAGAATTCAGTATATTTTCAGGATATGTTTATGGTTCAGATGTGACCAGGGGTCATTTCGTAGAAAAAGAGCTAGGGGAACTCATTAGCATAACTCATTAGCATATGCCACACCCCCTGACATCAGGGGCCCGGCGGTGGACCTGCAAGGCCAGCGGGAGTACGAGGAAGCCCCGCCAAGGCCTTCCCTGGCCCCAGGCAGGCAGGGGTGGGGAGAGGCGGGGAGGAAGCAACTTACCCTCCCTCTTCTCCTGCCTCCTCCTGGCTGAATGAGGGCTGGAAGCGGGGTGGCCGGAAGCAGGGGGCGGGGCTTCGTCGTGTGCCCCGCCCCCCTGCATCTCACCCGGGGGAACTGCGTTCCCCCGCGTTCCCCCCCGAAATGACCTCTGGATGTGACTAGTTTTGTCCAGATACAATATGGCATACTGTTAGCATGTTGATCATACATTACTGAAGTGGTTTAAGCAGTGCCATTAAGTCGAACTCAGTATCAGTGCCATCCTAAGCACAGTTACATCCTTCTAAGACCAATGCAGTCAATGCTTCTAAGACCAATGCAGTCAATGCAGACCTTCTAAGTCCATTGACAGCATTGGTCTTAGAAGGATGTAAATATAATTTGGGTGCCACTGCTGATTTGTTTGCTGCAAAATTTATCATATATTTATTTGCAAATGTGGCTTGACAGTGCAGACCCAAGAATCTGCACAATGGACCAGCAACAGAAAATGACTCCCAAGGTTTGCAGGAAAATCCCAAAACCAAAAAAAAGGGGGGAAGGTTACAAACAAAACAAGGAAGCCATGTCATGGGGTTGCTAAGGAAAGAAACCACCAATAAGCAGGGCTGGAAGGAGAAAAGAAAAAGAGGCAGAAGGAGGGTGGGGATGAGCAAGAGGGAAGGAGGCACAGAGCAGCAGAGGGGAAGGGATTGTTCCTTCCCCCATGAGGCCTCACACATCCCCTCTCTTACAGTTTTTATTTTCAACTTTTTGTTTTTCCTACTTCTCAGTGGCAAAAACTACTCACTCACACCAAGTAACAGAGGGTAGCAGTACTTTGTAGGTCTCTTTCTTGCTTGTGTTGTGTATAGCAGTGTTTTTTTAAAAGCAAACTAGGGCATCTATACTTTTAAAGTTCAGAGAGATACAGGACAGTATAACTTTATATGTTCGTGCAAAAATTAATTTTGTGCTTTTAAAACTGTAGGATAAGTTTAGGCTTCCCAATGAAGTATTGCATAGATTGCAGTTTTTTGCCAAAATATATATTTTTTTCCCCAGGGAAAAATAGTGGGATTCTCCCTCCCCCATGGCTTCAAAATCTCAGAGTGAGGAAGCCTAACCTCTGGTCCTAATCTTGGAGGAAGTAAGAAATGCTGAAGCTACAGGTCAGAGGAGGCTTGGTGAGAGGACTGGAAGTGATTACTTCACAGGTGGAATAAGGGTGACTGCACCACCCTTTCATCATCTGTTCCGCATTTCCAATGCATCAGCTACAGAAAGAAGCCCACTCTCTAGCACAGTGAGGGCTTTCTTATCTTCCAAAGCAAAACTCTTCTTCTCTGTCAGCAAGACATACTTCTGAAAGTTCTTTCCATGGCAACTTTATTTTAAATCATTATTTGAACTTTATGCTGTTATGGATTTGAATTGCAAGCCACTCGAAGAGCGCAATCTGGCTGAAACGTAGCTTATAAAGATAACAATTAAATAAATAAATACAGGACCTGCACAGAAGTGCAAGATACACTGAAACTACAAAAAAGGGCAGGGTATAATAAGATTGTTGCACCTTGAATCTGAAAGCTCTTAATGAAAAGCTCAAGAAGCCATCCATTCCTCTTTTCCCAATTCCCCCAGCCTGAGACAATGCCAACAATTCAAGACAAAAGAATGCCCGGGCTCCTGCCCCATCACTTACACAATGCTGTGGTGAGCCCCTCTGGCTGGTCATAGTGGACACTGGCAACACACAGTGTGTTGAGGGCAACAACACACAGGACAATCCAATAGAAGCTTTGTGCTTTCACCATGCGCCGGATGAAGAAGCGGAACATCTTCTCTTTCCTGCGGAAGTAGGAGGAGCTTTCATTCTTTGCACTCTTCAAGCTGGCACGAGCAAACGGCGACCCTGGGCATTGGAGGGGTAGAAGGCAGTGTCATTGCTTATGGAAACAAAATACAAGGACATACTCCTGTTCAAACCTGTTGTTCATCAAAAAAAATCTATTCTACATAGACTCAAGGAAGCTTCAAACTGATGATGCTCCCACAACATCAGGCAAACTTAAACTCTTATTGTTATTTCCAGTTATTAGAAAAAGGCCATTATATACACCTGCTATGTAGCTATACTGATAAAACCATATACAAGCTGTTACTACAAGTGGCGTGTCTCAATATTGGGGGAAATTAGCTATGAGACGGAAGAGACCAGAAGGGTACAAGGGACCGCACACCTATATATACCAAGGTCCAGTTCAGTATGAAGATTCCAGATTTAAAGAGTAGTTAATAGTTTTATTAGAAAATATCCCTGCATAGAACCACACTAAGCAATCAAAATATACACACAATCCAGAACTAAGAAATAAAGAGGTGATGATAAAGATGTTAAGGAGCAGTTATAGGGGTCATGCTACCTGTCCAGACGTCCATGTAGAAGAAAGTGTAGATGGCCAGCATTTCACACAGAGAAAAGATGCCCAAAGAAGAGACTTTTGGGGGTGTACCCTAAAATAGGCGCCCTTGGAGTGCACACTGAGCCACGGTTTGCTCTCTTATTTTTATAAGAATTTGAGGGGCAGTCTCCTGGGCCAGAACTTGATAAGATTAATGGCCATTGATGGTCCTACCAGAATAGGTTGAATGGGTCTGATGACCATTGATGGCCCTACTGAAGTAGGTAGAATGGGTTCCCAGTCTTAGACAAAAGGGGAAAATGGGTCTCTGATAGGCATCAGAAAGAATCGTTGATGAATATAATGTTTGATCAATTTGCCCCAGTATCCTGAGGGAGGGGGCAGGAAGGACAGGTGTTGAGACAAAAGATTTTCACATAGGCATAGGTATCACACAAAAGGGAATCACATGAGTGTATGGAGAAGAGAAGGTTTGCCAGGTGGCTACTGAATGGCTATGGAAATGCAGATACTCTACCTGAAGGAACTCGCAGTCATTCTGTATGCTTACCTTTGCTGAGTGGGGGGGGGGGGTTGGAGATTGCCCTGAAGGACACCTTTTGCAACCTTAGACTGAAACCCTTTGCTTTTTGGCTAACTCTTGACACAGATCAAGATCTTTGGCCTGGTCCTATGGGTCTCTGGTCCAGGCCAGAAGTGGGGTGCCCCTGCTGTTGGGGCTACCCCAGGAGTAAGGCAGCGCCTCTGAGCTATAAAGCCTAGTTGCCCCTCCTTGCATCAGAGCATCTTGGAGGTAGAAAGAGTACCCAAAAAATGAGCTAAAATAGTGAATGACTTAGAGTATTATCCTACCAAGAAAAGCTGGATTGTTCATGACTTTTTAGCTTAGGGAAAAGGTGTCATTGGTTGATTCTGCTCTATAGTATGTTTTCTTAGAAGTCAGTCCCATTACACAAATGTCCCAGTTCTTCCTACAACTTATTTAAATTTCCCTCCTTTTTGCTTTGGTATTTCACAGCCACTTTTGCATCTCAGCTTAATTGAACACTTAACATGCGATGGCCACACAGTGTTCAGGAATCAGTCTTTAATCAGTTCTTATTTGGGGAGGGTAACTATTAATTACTAATTTCCTGCCAAAGTGATTGGTCATTAACTCTCTTGTTTCAATAATTATAATTATGAAATTAAAGTCACATAAATAAAATTAAAAAGAATTAATAAGCAAATTAAAACTCCCTTCCCAAATATGAAGTGATTAAGGATCAATTCAGGATTACCACCACTCCAGGTCAACAGGTAACAATTATGCTGAAAAACAGAAACATCATAGAGGGAAGGAGGCAAATTTACAAGGACAATAGCCCTGGAAAGCCTCAGTGGTGCTTTGCCAGTCCACTCTGCTAAGTTTATGGCTGTGTTGTAAGGTTTTGTTTTTTTAAAAATCCTACAAAAATCAAATACTGAAAAGACCATGATACTATAGGGAAAATACTGGGATGCACTGACTGTGGGCGATTTCTCACTAGAGCTGCCTCACAGCACAGCATTTGCCCCAACACAAACATGTCAATTTCACACCCGAGGCTGCAGGGCTGCATTTGACTCGGGGCTTCGCCCAATTTCCTCCACAGTTTCATGATCCTCAAAAACCGGGATCACGAAACTGCGGAGGAAATCGGGCGAAGCCCCGAGTCAAAATGCAGCCCCGGAGCCTCGGGTGTGAAATTGACATGTTTGTGTCGAGGTAAACGGCGCTGTGCTGCGAGGCAGCTCTAGTGAGAAATCGCCCTTGGTAACAACATCATCTAAATTTTCTATAAAAGTTTGAGTGAATGAATTATATCCACTTCCAGCTTCTGGATTCTAGCTTGAATGTTCCTTTACACAAAAAAATCTAAATCCAAAAAATCTAGCACAGGAGAGAGAAAGGCTTCATTCCCTTCTCATTATCTGCTGTGCAGATTTTTCTATTTGTGTGGGGAACTTTTCCACAAGGGGAGCATTCCAAAATGTGATCATCCTGCTGCAGTCTGATGTAGTGGCATGCATTTTACCTCCTCGGCACTCTACCACCTCACGCATGTGTGAACCAGGTTTCACTGGCTGAAACCTGAGATAGGAAGAAGTAGGAACATCACACAACAAGTCTTCAATGCCACTATTGTGATGGCAAATAGATTAGAGAATTTTTAAAGGACTGGAAAAATTCATGGTTTTATTACTGGCTGTTAGTCAGAGCAGTCAGATGGACCGTCCAGTTATACCCTGCCAATTAACAGATGCTAAACAGATGCTGGCCACATGACCACGGAAACGTCTTCGGACAGCGCTGGCTCTTCGGTTTTGAAACGGAGATGAGCACCGCAACCCTAGAGTCGGATTCGACTGGCTTTTGAGCACTTGCAGTTAGGGAATCTCAGTCAGTAACCAGCACACACAAGAGCTTTAAGGATCAGTCTCTTCAGCTGATTCTAGGTTTACCATTGCTGTGAGGAACCAAAAACAGATGTGCATTCATTTGGAATAAAATAACAATGCTCAAGTCACTGGACTAGCTACATCGGTTTAATCGCCTGGCAAGATTTATCGGAATCAGTATTTCCCAACAGTGATGCAGCTAAATACAACAAAAGACAAGCAATAAATGACTTCACAAATTATTTGTTATAAAAACAAGCTCCATGGAACCATAACAAGTATGCCTAATAAGGATATTCATTTCTTTATTAACTAACTGAAAAATGGGGAAGTGTTGTTTTTGGAAGCTAATGACATGTGTCCTTGTTATTCTGGCACCTGGGTATCTAGTTTACTGTGCAAGGAGATTGCCTAGGGATGCAGTCCTGTATGGCCAGCATGTGAAGAGTAGTACATGGAATTACCACACTGGAATCAGTACAGCCTTCCTCCCCCACACTGGGATGCCAGAACAGCAGCATCATGGCCAGGCTCTATGAATGAATGACTGAATGAATGGCCATTCATTCCAGGTCAGGCCCTTTCCCTGTTCCTATACAAACACTTAATGAGCTCATTCTTCCTGATGCTGATTCTTGGTACACAGGCTGCCTACAGGAAAAGAGCTGTGCATGGCAGCCGGGGGCAAGCAAGTTTAAGGATGCTTCTAAGAATTTATCTTTGGTGATGGCCCCCTTATCTTGTGTTCAGCATGATCTGCGTTGTCCCCCTAACAGTTGTATTTAAGTTTACCCGTCAGTGGTGAATATGTGGATTTATTTAAAATGAGGACTTTTCCTTGGGCTATAAAAATATAGTTTATTTATTTCATTAATTATTGCTTTTGCAGAATGAAATCCATTCTGTATGCATACACTGTACAACACTGTGTAGAATCAGTGGAGAAGGCTGAAACTGGAGGAGATCAAGGGATAAGGATGGAGAATTCATTTAGCATCCGTCTATGTTTTCCCCATTATTTGAGCATTGTTGATAGGGTTGCCCAGGTGAGGGCTGGAGATCTCACAGAATTACAGTTGATTTTCAGACAACAGATATCAGTTCCCCTGGAGGAATGGGCAGCTTTGGAGGGTGGACTCTGTGACCCGTGAGGTTCCTCCCCTCCCCAAGCTCTGCTGTCTCCAGGCTTTACCCCAAATCTCCAGAATTTCCCAACCAAGAGTCAACAACTCTATTTGCTGGTAGGGGAGATACAGAAAGGCCTGTCCTTGAAATGAACATGTTTGGGTTCATATCAGCAGGCCCGTAGCTACGGTGGGGCTTTTGGTGGCACTGCCCCTTTTCTTAAAGGGACGGACCCACAAGAATTTCTTCTGTAAATGCTCTTTTCAATCATTTTAAAACATTTTTAAAGGCATGTGCTCCTTTAAGCAGAGTGGGGTGCTGTAGTTGACTAATTCCCACACTGAGCAAGGGGGTTGGAGTAGGTGACCTCCAAGTTGCCTTCTAACTCTGTGTCAAGAAACTGGTCTCCTTTAAGAGAGGTTTTCTGCCTAAGCTTTCTTGACTACAGAAGTCATCACCCCCACCTGCCCGCTTGTTCTCAGAATTGTTGCTTAGGCTGACAGAAGTGATTAACTTGCAGCAGGTGAGAACTGTCTTCTACAGTGGTTGACAGCTTGCAATTTAGATATCTATCCTAGTAACAGCTTTTCTATTAGCTAAATGGCTTTTCTTTCTGCACTGAGAACTTCAGCCCCACCAGAAAAAAATTTGCCCCACAAGCCACAAAATCATGGCTAGGGGCCTGCATGTGAGCACCAGTAACTCACAGAAGGCGAGAACATGATTGACTCTGTTGGAGCAGCTCCATATGTTACTCTGCACATACGATTACATACGATTGTACCCTTGATCTTTAAGATGTTGCAGGCCTATTTTGTCTCCTTTGTAATAACAAACAAATCCCAAATACCCTTCTGAAGCTTCTGCTTACAAAAAATGAAGCAAATCCCATTTACTGAGATACAGCTTTGAACAGTGATGAAGTTTTTGTAGACAGTTTTAATGGGATTAACAAAGCAACTCGACTAGTTCAATGACCAGCAAGAGGCTTCCCCTGCTGGTCAGCCACGTTTTCATGGTGACTTGTAATTATGTTAGAAGTTTTCTGTGATCCTCATAATCACTTCGGAGAAATTATCAGTATGAAAATGCCATGAAATAAATACCCCCCTCAGCCTTTTAGAATCCATATTCTCAAAGCAAGGCTGTGTTGAATCCATGCCTGAAGTATTGGCTTTCCTATTCACCCAAAATCTAATCGCAAGAATATGATCCAGCCAAAGTGAAAAGCCTTTTAAATCCAATTGATTTAAACGAGAAAGGTTTAACAATGTTCAGCATTCTCCCATTGAGATCAATGGGACTTAACAGCACTTTACTTTGACTGCATCATGGCCGGAGTCCTAGACCCTACAGTCGTGAAGGAAAGGCTTGAAAAATGCATGACAGCCCCTCGTTCTCGTCTTCCTTAAAGGCTGGAAACCAGTAACAGAAATAACACCAAGAGCCAAATTCAGCACTGCATTCTGCTCTCATATGAGATTTAGAGTCACACTAAACATGACATCAGGAGATCCATAAATGGATTTCCAGCATTTTTGAAGAGTAAACAACAGCAGTCCCTTAATTTGGACCGGGAGAGATGGTATGGGGGGGAGAGTGTAACCACTACCACCATCCAGCTTTGTTTTCCCAACTCAGCTGTCTCCTTGGAGCTGCTATTCACTGAAGGGGAAGCACAAACACACAAGCACTGGTCAACCTACACAGCAGTCATTTTCTCTTTAAAAATGGGAGATTTGCTCACAGATCTCCCAGTGCTGCTTCTAATTTGACCCTTAGGTTTCTGGTTCCATTTCCTCCCTTGCATCTCATGGGACTGCATAACCAGCCAGAGTGTCAGCCTAGAACTGAGGAGAGCCAAATGGAATGCCAAGAAACTCACTAGGTCAATCATATGCACTCAGACTGACCTTAGTGTACAGGGCTGTTGAAAAGACAAAACAGAGAAAGGCGAAACTGTGTATACTGCCTTAAACTCTTTGGAATAAGGGCAGGATAAAATGTAACAGATAAAAAAAAAATACATAGCCTTACCTTGGGTCTAGTTACTAGCCACAGGAGACAGACATACATTTATTAGACCTCCAACTTACCAACAGAACAAACATCTGTGAAGTGGTCCTCTCCCTCTTCAGCATGGATAAGGTCATTCTTGCTCTTCTTTATTGTGGCCCTTTTCAGCACTGAATGCAAAAGGAAATGAAGGAAGGCACATGTTACCTTTTGGTAGCAGATAAGCTTCCTCACAAGCCCTTCTTGCCTCTCTACCTGGAGGCCAGTTTCAAAGTAACCATCCAGCATTGCAACATTACAAAACAGCTTCCTCACAGGCTCTTGGCCAAGGGTCTTTTTTTTTTTAGCCATTCAGCTAACGCTTAGCCTCCCCTGTCTGTTATTGCACATTCTAAGATTAAAATAGTGACAAAGAGGAAAGTTGAGCAGGCTTGATGATTCAGTGCATGTTACTTTCTCCCACACAGGGACAACAACAGTCACTCGTGCTAGTTGGGGCTTGAAAATTAAAGTGTCATCACATTTGGAAGGGAGAATACAGAATTTGGGGGCATTTAAAGGGCCAAATCCATCAGAGTACTCAGAAAGATCATCAGAATATCTTGTATGGACACTGACGTAGCGGTCAGGTGAGCCAACGGGAAGGGTCTAGTCCATGCTATAAAGGCCACAGTAGTTGGCAAATTCTGGGTTCTGGTATGCACAATGTTATCAGCATATACGAAGGCCTGCTGAAACTAGTCAACCCCAAGAATAACAAACTGGACATGCAGCAGACAATCTGGAAAGGTAATCTAGTAAATCTAGATTGTTTCTGAAGAGAAACATACAGAGTTCTCTCATCAGCCTTATAGAAAACGGCATTTTGATTTTCTGATGGGATTATTGAATAATAAGGTTGCCAACACCAGACTGGGAAATTCCTGAAGATTTGGGGGAACTGATCTCTGCAGCCTGGACATCAGATGTAAGTCCAGGGGATCTTCAGGCCCCACCTGGAGGTTGGCAAATCTATTAAATAAGTCTTAGGAGAGATCCCCAAAACCATCTAGTACAACTCTATGCCCCAAAGGTAGGTCCCTGCTCTGCCACTACGGATCAATTTAGACAATTCATAGCCTGGCATGTACAAAGAGAAAGTAAATATTCTTCTGCAGGTGCCTTCCTGCAAAAGAGGTGGCTTGTGAAAGCAAGATGAGCCATACGTGGCAAAGAGAGGCCAGCAATTGGGTGTGTGTGTGTCACCATAGCTAACCAATCTGACCTGCATATAAATTTTGTTCCAATCTCAAATATTTATTCAGTAAATATAAATTATTTATTTATTCATTTTGATTTATATCCTACCCTCTCCCGTAAGCAGGCTCAGGGCGGATCACAGCAAGTCGTTTAACAGTAAAAACAACATTAAAATCCAGTTTAAAACCAATTTCAGAAAAAGATGGCAGGCTGGTTCATGGTAGTCCAGAATGCCTCCTGTGTGGGTGCTGGCTAGATGGTCTATAAGGCTAACCCTAATCCCCAAAAACGATTATCAATTGAGGATTAGGAAAGATAAACCAAAATGAAGGCTGAAGAACTCTGAATTGTGCCTTATAAGCTTTTATTAATTGGTGATGCTCTTGTGTCTCTCTTTAAACAGTGAAATTACTGGTCATAAAGACAAATACTATAGCTTAAACAACCATGTTCAATGTAACTATAGCATTTTAGACTAAAACTGATATAAGCTGTTGTAATGATCTCCTATACTTGTGTTTTTAGTGGTTTTCTTTCCTTTCTCCCTTAGTTGTAACTTCCCCCTCCCTTTTTTCATTGTAGTTTATAGAAAAATGCAATAAAAAATCCCCTTCGGCGGGCCCAAAAATATATATATAAGGCATTCAATTGACCGGAAGAGGCCGTGCAGATCTCTTTAATATCGTAGGGTCATTAAATGGGGCAGTATGACAAGGAGAGGCCGAGATGGTTGGATGTTTGCTGTCTCAGCCAAAGGCCTGGCGGTACAGCTCCATTTTACAGGCCCTACAGAATTGTAATAGATCCTGCAGGGCCCTGATCTCAGGTGGGAGCATGTTCCACCAGGCCGGGGCCAGGGCAGAAAATGCCCTGATCTTGTTCAAGGCTAGACAGACATCTTTCGGGCCAGGGACTACCAGAAGGTGTTGATCTATAGAGCGCAAGGCTCTGCAGGGCACATATGAGGAGAGACGGTCCCATAGGTATGTTGGTCCCTATCCACATAGGGCTTTGAAGGTTCATACCAAAACCTTGAACCAGATCTGGCACTCAACTGGTAGCCAGTGCAATTGGTGCAGCACTGGCTGAATGCATGCCCACACAGACATTGCAGTTAAGAGGCGTGCCACCACATTCTGCACTCGTTGCAGTTTCCAGGTCAGATTCAAGGGCAGCCCATGGGCAAGTTACAGTAATCCAGCCTTGAAGTGACCATTGCATGGGTCACTGTAGCTAAATCCCAGGAGGAGAGATAGGGAACCAGTTGCCTGACCAGTCGAAGACAGTAAAAGGCCGATCTGGCAACATTGGTGACCTGGGCCTCCATGGAAACTGAGGCATCCAGAATCACCCCTAGGCTTTTCACCCTCAGCACTGGTGTCAACAACACCCTACTCAGATTTCTGATCCCACCCCCTCCACAGCTCAGGTACAGGACCTCTTTCACTGGATTTAATTTCAGCCGACTCTGCTGTAACCATCCAGCCACTGCCTCCAGTGCCCTGTCCACAATGTTATCAACGTACTAGTGACAGGCCAATGTGTGGCCTGCTTGATGTGTAGGAGCTGATACAAACTGGAGAGAGTCCCAGTGCCACCATGGATGACACTAGGTCCCTGGCTTGAGAGGATGCCACACCATCAGCATATCTTTATTATGCATATCCTGCATCTCTGTTGTATGAGGCAGCTTTTAGAAGTCTAAAAACCAAACACACCAATAAAAACAAAGCCAAAAATCAAAAGAACCAATAAAAGACAAGAAGCAACAGCACCGACAAAGCATTTTTAAATGCTCAGTCACACCTGTGTACAAACAAAAGCTACACTCTGAGTCATCCCATGGAAAACAGAGTGCAACTTCACACCACCCACATCCTATCTCTAGCTGTGGCCGTTTCTGCCGGCCCGACTTCTGGTGTCTGATGGAAGCCAGACACCAGGTGTCTCAGCTATTTAAAAAAAAAAACAGTCTGGATACACTCAAGTTAAAGCAAGAACAAAATAGCTGTATTAGACTAGTCCAGAAAGGGGGGGGAAGTACAGGGAGACTCAAATAATACTTTTATTAGGACTAACTCAACCACAATATTTAAAAAGTGATGTGTAAACTGAGTTCATGAGACTCCTTTTTGGGGAAGGAAGAAGAATGAAACTGAAAGCTACATAGTGTTTTGTAATGGGGGAACGGTCCAACTATTATTTTACTACCTCCCATGTCAAATTAAGACAGGCATACTCCTTTCCCTTTTGACTTTCACATCGGGATAAAAGCAGTATCAGAACCAGGGCTATTTTGGGGCAGGAACGCACAGGAACGGAGTTCCGTCTGGCTCCTGAGTTGGCCACGCCCAGCAGGAACATATTAGCGTAATAGGCCACACCCAACAGCAGAAACTCATTAGGATTGGCTACATTAGGGGTGTGTGGCCTAACATGCAAAGGAGTTCCTGCTACAAAAAAGCCCTAGGTTTTGACAACAAACAAGGTAAACAGAATAAGAAGCAAAAGTTGGGTGTGGCTGGATAACCACACTTCTGGTAACACAGGGGTGTGGCCTCATATGCTAATGACCTGTGCTGTCGGGGTGTGTGGCCTAATATGCTAATGAGTTTCTGCTTTTGGGTGTGGCCAATTATGCTAATGAGTTCCTGCTGGGCTTTTTCTACAAAAAAAGCCCTGATCAGAACTATTCTCTAGAACTGGAAAAATATATGCAAAGAAGTTAGCTCTGTTGTCACTATTATAAATCTCATTCTTTTAATCTGCGACCAATATTAATATGACATCGTGGCCCTGGCCCTAACATCAGCACCGAAGTAATATCTGATAGCCTGGCAAGGAACCTGGAATATGGCGATTGTTATATCTGGATGCCGAAAGAATGCCGCCATTGTTTACTTGAACTGCTAGCACTTTGCATTTTGTTGTGGTTTTAACTTTTTTATCTGTTTTAATATTTGTATAATGTATTTTTTTATATATATATATGACTGTAAGCTGCCCTGAGCCTGCCTTCGCAGGGAGGGTGGGATATAAATCAAATAAATAAAATAAAATAAAGATCTGTTTCAGGAGAAAAAGAAGCAGGGAGACAGACTATGCTTTTTTAAACTGCGTTTCTGAGGTAGGACTGTAATATGGAACACAGTAACTGAAACCTGTGAGGAGAAACATTGTAAAATAGATAATTCATAATACATGTAATCAAAATAGAAGGCATTTTAGCTCCAAGCACGCGGCAGGAAATGGTGATCAAGAATATATTGCAGGCTGGTTAGTCCTGCAATTGCAGCGCAGTAACCGAAATCTGATAGTGGCTCAGGTCAGGGAACAGCAATCCAATATTGGTTGCTCTCTGAATGAGCCTGTGATATCCTTGGACTCACATGCTACCCTCCTCACCTAATCAGATTTCTGCTTTTGCATTAAGTTACATACAAACTAGTAACCCGTGATTACAAGGTGAGAATACCAAGTGGTTTGGATCCTAGTTTGCATGAAAAGTGGAAACCACACTTTGCCAATTTGGATGGAAAAACAAATTATGTTTGGCTTACAAATGCACAAGTCAAGGAACTTTAATCAGGTTAAAGGAAAGGAAGGAAAGGATCTCACCACACGAGAGGAAAGGAGGAAGGGTGCGAGACCAAGGATCCCCCTTCCAGGTTTGTTTGCATTGCAGCAAACTATAGTTTGATATCATAAACTGAGCCAATGTGTTACATGAATATGGTAAATATTAAGCAAGTCTGCCAGGATCCGTTTACAGCCAATTCCTCCTTGATAGGAAGCTGGAAACTTTGTTGCTTTTCACAATAATTACAAGAAAGATGAGAACCCAATCAAGGACTATCTGGTGAGGAAGCCTAAAATAGCTTTCACGCAATTCAGTTTCAAGGCCCAAGCATCTCCAACTCTTGAGACCACATTCCTCTGAATGTTAAGAATGCCACTAGGCAATTAAAAAATAAAGCAGGCCTTTCATTACTTTCAACTTGGTGCAAACAAAACTCCATGTGTATTACGATACTATGTGGTGTGATGATAACACACTGCTCACTTTTAGTAAACAGCTTTCTGTATCAGAATGTTTAGATTTGAAAAACCCTCACCATAAATCTCAGGCCATGCATGGCAAAACCATTTACGGATAACAAAATCTTTCCAAAGCTAACTGCATAGTCCATTTCACTAGCAAAGCAAGGCAAGAACTCAGATCTGCTGCACAATGAGCATTTGAAGACTGATCCACCATAGCACTTCAGTTCAAGGGGACTTTTCATGTACTTTCATACTGTATTCATGTTTGAAGTATGCTAGAGGGAAGAGCTCCAAATCCAGAGAACTAGGAGGCACCTCCAAAGCTGTTTTCAGACCTCAAACATGCAAACAGATCTTGGTTTATTAATTATGAGAGAAAGCCAGGAAGACCTTGGGTTACAGCTTCCCCTCCCCCTTCCCTTTCATGTTCTACAGAAACTGAAAATTGCTAGATCTGGAATATACAATTTGTTGTGATGTCTAAATGAGGCCAAAAAACAACCTCTTCGGCAAAATTCTTTTTAAACTGTTTAAAAGTTCATGAGTTTTCAGTATACAGAGAGTTCCAGCACCTTTTTTTCACACAAACAAAAAAACCCTGACCAGGATTGTACTGTGCATTACAGTCTCAGTTTGTAGGCAAAAGGATAAGCCACAGTTCGTCATTTCATCTGAGTCTGACATCACAATTAACTGCAGTTTATTCCAAACAAAGATGTTTTACTATTCAAGCCACATGCGAGAGGAGGAGCAATGAGGAGCGATCATGCAAGCCTAAGGATTTCCTGGCTTGTTGTCTCTATGACCAAACCAAGGTTTCTTCATGGTGTCGAACTGTATCCCAATGGTCCATCCCTTTGAATGCAAACAAAACTCAATCTCCAACACCATCAATTATTAGGGATGCTGGGAACCTTGCCATGGGCAGGTTTGGCAGGTAAGCATGTCATGCTTGACTGCCACAATTGCCTGTGAGCCAAGCGTCACATCACATCTCCCTGTTTCTCCAGAGGTATGGGAAGGGGCTGCTGAGTGGTATAGGGGACCTGCCATACAGCAGTGGGGGAGAGGAGGCATATGAGTCCTGCTGGGTGGCAGCAACCCCAACACACACACACTTCCCCCCTCTTCCTCTGCTGCGGTATGGGGTTTATGGGGAAGGGGAAGGGCATGGGATGCTGCCAAAGTGCTCAGCTCCCCTGCTCATCAGGCTACTACTCACAAGCAGCATCATACAGTGCAGTGCCAAGTGCCAGATAAACAGTGTCGGGCCCCTTGCGGGCAGCTGAACAATCTGTCAAAGGGTCAGTTCCCTGCTTGCCGCTGGTGTGTAGGGAACAAGATGCTCCAGCAGGTGTTCAAGCATCCCTATCTGTGAGCAATATTCATCTAGTTCCTCCTGCAAAACTTCCAGAGAAAAAGAGGCCACAGCCTCCGTAAGTCATTTGTTTTGCTGTACAAATACTAGTTGGACCAAAAATGCTGTATGGTAGCAATTTTAACCATTTTGCCTCATTTCCCAAACCTCTAGCCACAGCAAATTAAAAGAAGATCCAGGTGCAAACACCACCAACATCTGTATTCTATGCTGGTGTAGGCACTAAGTCCTAATACCCCCCAAGATCTTTGATCTCCTATGTATGCACCCCCCCCTCCTTTTATAAAGATCTACAGTGCAGCCCCATTTGGAATACAGTATACAATTCTGGTCACCCTGTCTCAAAAACAGTACAGGAAAAGTGCAGCAGAATTAAACCAAAAATGACCCAAAGGTTGGGAGTACCTTCCCCACAAGTAGAAATTAACACATTTAGGGCTCTTTAGTTTAGGGGGGAAATGATTACCAAGGATCTGTTGTTTTTTTCCTAGAACTTAGGGTCATCCAACAAAATTGACTGGCACAATGTTCAGGACAGAAAGAATAAAATACTTCTTCACACAATGCACATTTAACTTGCAAAATTAACCAGCACAAGATGAATTAATGCTTACTGGCGAACTGAAGGAAAGACTCATATCTCTTGCACAATGAGCTTTTAAGGACTGATCCAAGACAGCACTTCAGTTCAAGAGGGTTTCTTATATAGTATCATGCTGTGTTCATCCTTGAATGATAATAGATGGCAGTATTTCAGTCCACAAGACTGGAACCTGGATGAGAGTTGTTGCTTTCATGTTCTGCTTCTGGGCCTCCCAGAAACATCTGGCTAGACACTACAAGAAACAGCATGCTAGAGCAGATGTAGCTGGATCCATAGCTTGATCCAACAGGAATCTGCTTACATCCACAATTAGATCCATTTTCAGATTTGCCTGCAACTCATTAAAATGGCTAGGATCACATCTAAAGTGTTTTCAAAATCACATTTTGGGAGCACCAAACAGGATTTGAACAGTACACCTATGGATCTGCAGCTACAGATATTTAACTGATGTCTAAAGAATGATAACAGCAGGGAACAGAAAGCCTGTCAGCTAGCTATAAAAAACCAGTGTTCCACAAGGTTGTTTATCTTGCAGATCAGTACAATAATTGTGTTACATACTCCACTGAGCTGACATGGTCTATAGTGAATATCAATCCTCCAAAGCAGCATTAGTTAAAATGAGATGCCTACATTTGCTGACTGTAAACCGACACTAATAGGGCCTAACTACATGTTACATTTTCCACATCTGCCAGTGAGGCTTTTAACTTGGACATCAGCTGCAATTTCCCTGCTCAGAACTCAGTTCTCAAGTGTACAGGAGGACCATGACTTGGATCAGGAACGAGGAGTTTGGGGAGAACAGGGCTTCTTCTTTCCCCACTCCACAACATTTTCCTGGCTTGAAACCATCCTGGGGGCCCTTACTTGCTCCACTGGGGGCTGCACATATAGTTATGGGCTATTTGTAGGGTTGCCAACCTCCAGTTGGAGCTTGGAAATCTCCCAGAATTAGAACTATCTCCAGACTACAGAGGTCATCTCCCCTGGAGGAAACAGCAGCTCTGAAAGGTGGACTGTATTACATTCCATGCAGGAGTAGATCAGGATGTGAAAATGGCCCTGGAACAATCCTAGTTGAGCAGCCCCTGTGGTGCTACAAGCCAGTATTTCAGGGGCCACTGAACTCAGTGGCACTATCAACAGACTTTGGCTCATCCTTTGCCCCCTCCCACAAGATGGTAGCAGTGCTAGAAGAAATAACCGGTGAGCTGACACTGATTACCAATGGAAGGTCTGAACCAAAAAGCCACTTGCAGCAGTAGCAGGAAGTAAAAAGTAGTAAACCAGGAAGTAAAAATGGCCCTGGAGCAAGCCAAGGTGAGTGGTCCCTGTGGTACTACCAGCCAGCACTGTGGTGGCCGCTCAACTCAGCAGTGCAAACTATGGGTACTAACTCACCCATAGCTTCCTCCTAAAAACTGGCAGCAGCATGGGGTGAAAACTGTTTAACTGATCACAATTACCATTGCTGTCGAAGAGTCTAATCGATGTGGCCCTTGAGGCTCTGGCAGAGCTGCTAGGGCTTGGTTATTCTTATTGCTGGCCACCAGCAGCTCTCTAAGGCAGTAGCCCACTGGGAAATGTCCCTGTAAGTTAAGCGGCCAATCCACCCTGATTACATGCATGCTGACTTTCCTCCCCTAACTCCCCCCCCCCCCCAATCTCCAGTAATTTCCAAGATGGAATTGGCAACCGGAGCTACATGAGAAGCTGCCATTGGGGGAACAGCATCTCCCTGGGGCTATTTCAGTTTGGCAAAATTGTGCAGGGAGGGGCAGAAGCCCCTTCTCCCCCACACACCACAGTCTTGATCTGAATTAGGGCACTGCATGCTTCATAACTGAGTTCCCAGCAGAAAACTTGCAGCTGACATCTGATGCAAGTAAAACATAACATGTTGCTAGGCCCGAAGAGATATCAGCAAGAAAACATTGCAGGCACTCCTCAATTCTGGCTGCTTACACTCAAATGGCTTTTTGACACCTGGGCTCTCCTCTGTCCTGACCCAGAAAGTGCCATGCCAAAATATAACCTAATACTCCTATATGCTCCGCTCAGCCAGCCTTCACTGCAGCAAAGTGTGACCAGGAATTAGTGGCCAACAGTGTTCTCAGGAGGGTAAAGCCACGCAAAATGCCCCCTAACCCCCTGACAAGTTGCAGTCCACTCACTGTTACAGCTGCCGCCGCTGCTAATCTCCAACGTTGTTGTGCCTCTCAGTATTGGGCCTTCAGAAGTGGCCCTCCCTGAGAGTGAGTGGGAGGAGAAAGGAAAACAACAGAGGGCAGGGGAGAAAGAGAAGAGGAGGAGGAGAAGACATGAGAGGGCGAAAGATGGTCAGAAAAGGGAGAGGGTTTAACTGAACTTTCACCAGTTGTAATATCTTAAGAGCTAGATGTCAAGAGGAAGAAGTGAACATGTCTCTGTCTTTGCTCGATAATCCTAAAGTTTCAAGCTTCTCTGTCCTAGGAAATGTTAGAGTATTGTGTGATCACCACAACCTGTTAGGTCTTACTGTTTAAAAGAAGAAAGGTCTTTGGCAAATCCAATTACAAACCCCATCTTAAAGACATGCTCTTTTCAGTGGTCTTGAAACAGACACATTTCTCTCTGTGATGAATAGAAGCTGGAGTCTGCCTCCACATACATAGTGACATTGAGTAGATCCCTGTACGGAAACAATGTGGCACAAAACCAATGGATGATATCTAGAAATATTGAGGCTGCTTCATCTGTTAAAATGGTCATCGTATTTGCTGCAGCTACGCTAGTGTCAGACCTGGAGCTTCCCACAGAAAACATGGGAGGGACACATGTAGTTTCTTCCACATCCAGGATATGTGCCAAGTAATACTGATTGGCTGCAGCTCCCTGATTTGTGTGTCCCTAAACATGCAATGGACACATCTGACCAGCACTTTCCTCAAAGGGATCCTGAATCAAGTAGCAAACAGGAATCAAGTGTCTAAGAGACAGCCCAACTGAACATCAGTGTGTGTTCTCAAGAGCATGCAAGGGACAAAGCATAACCCTCATTGCATTAAAAGCCACCAAGACGTACATGGTATACATCAACCTTGAATAAAAGAAGGCAAGACTAGGCCAAAAGGAACCTACCATCCAGAGGGGACTTCTCTTCAGCATTCTTGTCTTCCTCCGCTAACATCACCTCCTCTGAAAACAAAAAGAGAAGCACTCAGTCTTGGGTAAAGCATATTCACTTCATAAAACAAAGTCTGAAGGGGGAAGCTTGATTCCCCATGATCAATGGAAGGCACTTTGACTGTCCATTTGGACAGAGTAATGAGTTTTGTGCAATAGGGCAGCTGTCTGGTCATCATGCTCTCTGTTCTTTGCTACATTCTTCCCTTAACCACATTTTCTCACATTTAGGGTAGGACACACTGGAGGCTGCTTCTCTCTAGAAAATATTCCCTGTTTCAGTTATAAGAAGTTCTTTTTTCCCTTGCCTCTTTATTAAAAAAAACTGCCCCTTATTCAGAATTATGCTAAAGCAATTTCAAGCATATATTTTTGTAGCTTGCCTTGGTGGTGTCAGCAAGCTGCCATGGTGTTCTGTGTTGCTTGTATCCCTGTATAGTTGTTAACCCCCCCCCCCCTGTCTGTGCACCTGTATTTTACTCTGCTGTAATGCCTAAGCCAAACAACTGGAGGATGTATTGGGGGAGTACGCTTATTGCCAGCTTGTTGCTTTTAGAGCCTGGGAACTGCACTTGTATTATGTCTGGAGATAACCTGGTTCTCAGGGAATGAGCGCGCAACCGTTTCCTTTCACCCGCCAGCGGGAACGTGACCCATTGGTTCTGTACCTGTTTCAAATCCCTTTATTATGCTTGCCCTAACCGTTTGTAGTCAGTTCTAACAAAGAACGTGTTTGAGTGTCTTTCCAACGCTTTGAAATAAATTTTGCTTTTCTTTAAACGTGGATTTATTCTCGATGCTTGGGGATCCAACACAGTGTTATGCTTGGGGATCCAACATATATCCGGGAGTGCCCGCGGCACCTGCCCCTCCTCTCC